TCCTATCTACAAAGTTGCATGATTTCATGTGACTTTGCATAATGAAAGTACAAAATTCCATAGTATGCAACTTTTGTCACTCGATACATTTTCTTAAATTTATATATGTCGATCGCCCGGTTTTAATTAGTGAGTTTCTATCATTGATCGGCGGACCACGAATTAATAAAAAAAGAGAATTGCTATTCGCACCCCTCCCGTGACTAAGTGTAGTAATGTGACCAATGAATGGCTTTAAAATGTGATTCCCTAAAAAAATTACCCATAATTGCAAAATAAAAAAAAATAAAAAATGTTGTCTACAAAAATCCAAAAAAAAATTAAAACAATTATTTGAAATAAATGACATAATGTATGATGTAATGAACTAAAAATATTGATGAAATGGAAAAAAAATGTTGATGAAGAAGAAAAAGAAGAAATAATTTCTATGTCGAATTTTAATGAAGAAAATCAGGATGAAGACATCGAAGAGACATCTCCTATTTCAAGTCAAGATGCTTTATTGGTTATTGAAAAAGTAAACTTGTTTGTTTGAACAACAGTTTAAGGAATTTACCAATGAGAATTGAAACAGTTAAAAAAATAGAATTCAATTCAACAAAACAATCTATATTTAAATATTAATTAATATTGAATAATATTTTTTATGTAATAATAAAAATTTTTTTATTCCGCATGACTTAATGTAGAACAATTCTCTATACCAGATTCTCTCTATAACAAACAAATTTCCTGGTCCCAATCAGTGTTGTGACCCGAAATTCTGAGTTTAGGGAAGACCAGAAACAGAAACTAACAGAAACTAGTTTAGGTTAATAGTTTATGCTTAGGTTTGGGTTTAGTTTTAGTTTTCTGCTTAGTGTAAGTTCATTTTCCGAAACGTTTCGGGAAGCCAAAAGAGTTTCTGGTCACATCACTGGTCCCAATGATCCGTTATAGACAGTGTGGACTGTACATACAAAATTTATTAATTTACCTTCTTTTGAAGATACCAGTTATTGTTTTTTGTTTTATATTTGTTTATTAAAATTTAAAATTAACAAAATACATATATTAATATTGTCATCAATACTATATATTATTATTAATGAATATATATGTGTTATTGTTTAATAAAAACTATACTTTCTACCACCACCACTATTATATCAATCACTAATATATAGATTATTTATTAATATTCATAAATTATACACTACAAAGTAGTTCTGGTCACACACTGCTATATTAATATGGATCGAAAGTTTCAAAATTTAACTTTTTTTTGGGACACCAGTTCTGGTCCCATTCACCTCATTTTGCATAGTAATTTGTCAAAAAATTCGCTGCTTTACCTCCCTAAGGCACATGAGTTATCATAGAATTATTCGGTGCTCCTCTTTTCTATAACAATAACTGATTTTGCTTTATAACAGACTGAGAATTTAAGCCCAATTTATATATCTCACATACACATAAAATATTGTTGTTACTCTCTATAAACGAACATTTTTTACTAAGCCAAGTGCATATACCTTTGAAATTCTTTTGATGTCCATATATAATATTGTGTTCGATGTATATATAAATTAATGTTTCCTATGATGAGATAAAAGTAAACACCCTTAACAATTTATAAATGGTATGAAATTTGAATTTCGTGCACCTTGGTAACTTTTATATATATCAATATTATTATTATGGTTTTTTCGTAACGTTACACATCATAAAAAAGATCATCGACCATTTTATGTTAATCGAGAAATATACGCGATATTTGATTTTTAAATATTTTTTCTAAACAAATTCAATAATTAATAATAATATTATTATTTTACCGAAACAAAAATGAGTGGAAACTTCAAACTTAATAGTCCAATTCTGGCAGGAATTCCTGGTGAACCTAATGAAAAGGATCAAAATGCAAAAACCGACAAGATTGAAAACATCTATGATAATTCCATCAAAAAAAAAAGAAAGGACAGAAATAACTAACAACGTAAAGAATTTATTGATAACTGTCAAACTACTAGTTTCGCTGTTACTGATAATCTTAAAAAGACCATCAAAAAAACTCAAGAAAAAGTTGATAGAGTATGTTGTATAATATTTTTATTTAGACATTGATTGAGCCATCGATGTTACTAAAAAACAATTCATCTAGCGAAACAATAAAAAAGTGGAATTAATTATTATTTTATTTTTGATAAAAAGATTGTCAAGGAATGTTATGCAAAAAATCAGAAATTCCGTGACCGTGAATTCGATCTGTTCGTAAATTCTTATGAATGTTTATATAAAGATGCAAAAGAAAATTGCGCTTACAGCGATGTTAGAAGAGTAAATCAAAATTTCAAAAATGGACAATTTTTATTAAGGGAGTCGAGTCAAATGATATTAATCATGTGAGTGTTGGAAATTGTTGGTTTATTGCTTCATTAGGTACAATCACATGTATTCCTGGATTACTCGAAAAAATTTGTGCTAAACGTGATGAAAAATTTGGCATTTATGGCTTTATTTTTTCAAGGTAACCAACTAACCAATTTATTATTATTATTATTATTATTATTATTATTTCATTTTGATGAATTTTGAATTTTTAATAAAGGGACGGTGATTGGATTTCCACAGTTGTTGATGATCAACTATTTGTCAATGAAAAGGATGCTAATGGCAAATGGAGTTTATGATATATAAATATTTTTTTCTGACAATGTATGACACATGAGAATTGATAATGAAAATTTTTTCTTGTTTAGACATTGTTCCAACGAAAATGAAACCCGATTACCATTGATTGAAAAGGCTTATGCTAAGATGCATGGTGATTATGAAAGTATTTCTGGCGGATATACTGGTCAAGGTAAAAACAATTAAAAATATAAAGTTTGTTGAGTATCATGTGACGAATTTATTGATTTAAATACATTATCTTTCCCAAATCAATAATAATACACAGGGATTGAAGACTTGACTGGAGGCGTTTATAATTTAACATTAATTAATGATATTCTTGATACAGAAAAATATTGGAATGAAGAATTAAAAAACGTGAACAATCGAGTTATGTAGGCGTGTTCCAAATTTGTTGGAAATGATTCAGAAAATGATTCAATAGGGTTGTATGGACAACATGCTTATAGTATTTTACGAACTGTTGAAATTGAAGATGGTAAAAAACTTATTTTGATTCGTAATCCACACGGGCAAACAGAATGTACTGGCAGATGGAGTGACGGAGATAATGCCCTTAATCACAGATTTGGTGATGATGGTGCTTTTTGGATGAGTTATGAGGATTTCTTGGAACATTGGCAACTAATTGATAAATTCGTGTTGTTTGATGAATCTTGGACTGTTTATTTGACTTGGGTCAATTATAATGTGGTTCCAAAGTCCGAGGGCAAGTTCGTTATTACACTTCCTGAAAAAACCAAATTGGTTATTGTTTTGCAACAACCAGATGACCGTTATTTTAATATCGGGACAGAATATGAGTAATGATATTATTCTCATTATTAATATTACATTGTCAATTGAATAATAAATGTGCTAATATTTATATAATTTTTTTAGTTACCAACTTAGTTTTCGTGTTTATAAAAAAGGTTGTGATAATTATTTATTCAGAAGTGGGGCAACAGTTCTTTGGGCTAGTCATAGTATAAATCTTGAAGTTGAATTACTAGCTAGTGATTATGAAATAGTATTAGGGATTGAACGTACAAAGAACACTGTTGAGACACAGGATGACGAGAAAAATGATCAAAATAAAAATGAAAATAAAAATGATGAAGATGTTGCTTATGAACAAAGAATTAAAAAGAAAAAAGAAAAAAGAGCAAATAACCTGACTGAAGGACTAGATTCGAATGACTATTATGATGAAATTGTAGAAACAATAATGATGAAAGAAAAGGAAAATGGGAATTATCGCTTGGTTTAAGAGTGTATTCAAAGTGTAAGGATATTGTATTGTATTGGAAGGTCATCAAGGAGAATTTCCAACTAATAAGAAACAAGATTCCGAGTGCAATGATCCTGAAGCAGATACCAATACCATTTATCCAAAAGAAGAGGACAAAGAAGAAAAAGAAAATATGGAAGATTTGCAATAATGTTTTAATCAATTAGTGAGCATTTTAATGTATAAAATATATAGATAATTAAATAATTAAACCGATTTAATAAATGAAAACCTGAAACCTGCATTTTATTTCCTCTCTTGTAACAGACATATGTTTACTTATACACTCCCTAGTCAAAAAAGGACACTTGCAGATCATCAAAATAATTGAATAGTGACATGCAAAAAAATAAAAAATCTTTACCTTGAAAATTGATCACAATAACAAGTTCTAACAATTTTTCTGGTATAAGTGAAAAATGCGTCTCATGTTTAAATTAATATATTCTCCGAGGACTATTATTCTCGCGGATTGTCAATTAAAATCATTAGATAAAACGGTCCATTGGGATTTTGTTTCTCCTAAAATCTGCTCGCAGGTCTTGTTGAATTATGGATGCTTATAGAAATTATAGGATTAACAGGTTATATCCAGCAAAAAGATATAATAAATCTTATAGAAAAACTCCAAATATTAATAGAGAATTTTCAAGAATCACATGATTTTGAGTTTTTGTGTGTTGATATCATTTAATTTACAAATTCAAAAAAAAATGAAAGATTCGAATGACTATTATGATGAAATTGTAGAAACAATAATGATGAAAGAAAAGGAAAATGGGAATTATCGCTTGGTTTAAGAGTGTATTCAAAGTGTAAGGATATTGTATTGTATTGGAAGGTCATCAAGGAGAATTTCCAACTAATAAGAAACAAGATTCCGAGTGCAATGATCCTGAAGCAGATACCAATACCATTTATCCAAAAGAAGAGGACAAAGAAGAAAAAGAAAATATGGAAGATTTGCAATAATGTTTTAATCAATTAGTGAGCATTTTAATGTATAAAATATATAGATAATTAAATAATTAAACCGATTTAATAAATGAAAACCTGAAACCTGCATTTTATTTCCTCTCTTGTAACAGACATATGTTTACTTATACACTCCCTAGTCAAAAAAGGACACTTGCAGATCATCAAAATAATTGAATAGTGACATGCAAAAAAATAAAAAATCTTTACCTTGAAAATTGATCACAATAACAAGTTCTAACAATTTTTCTGGTATAAGTGAAAAATGCGTCTCATGTTTAAATCTAGTTGCTTTTAAATTTTTAGAGAATTTGGTAAATTAATTAATTAATGAGGGAACCTCAAATTGCTCACCAATTTGAAACATAAAAGACATCAAAAAATATATGAAACTATTTTAAATTAATTGTATTTTATTAACAAGTTTTTGCATTAACAGCTAAAACTATATCTTGTAAATCAAAAGCTGTTGTTCCATAAGGGAGTGGGGTGTTACACATCAGTATAAACACAAACATAGTTGAGCACACTTATAAAAAACTATATGTAAGGATTTTTTATT